CCAAAACTGATTGATTATTCAAGGTGAAAACCAATCATCATAATATTTTATTCTTAATCATGATTAAGAACCTCCTACTATGGCTATTTAATCATTTTCAAGATGATTAAAACCCTCCCACTATGACTTTCCGATCACTCTTTCGTCGAGATGAGATTCAATGACTTCATCGGGTCAATCTTCCTCATGAAACTCTCCCTATGACTCTAAAATCCTTCAAGGATGAAGCACATCCTATCTGCTTCAACCCACTTAGGAGCAAGCTGCCATAACCCTTTACGGTCACCGGCATCTACCTGATAACCAGGATTCTCTTGCGAAGTGAAAGATGACGAAATGTCCTCTTTCTTTCACCCATAATCCTGGGTTGGTTTCAATCGTCAAGATCAATCCCATCCACTCCAGCTGTGTTTTTGGAGCACTTTTTTGTTGAGATGGGATTCAATAACTGCATCTGGTCAATATTTCCTCACGAAACTCTCACGGTGTAATTGTGAAGTGCTTGATGACTCACGGTCCTCCGCTACAAAACCCCTCGCTGATCAAATTATTAATTGATGGTCGGTACACAAAATTCTTCATGGTTAAATCCATTCAAACTCCTATTACGTCTATCCTTTAACACTCCCACTATTGAAATCCTGACACGACACTCAAAATTTCAATCTGCTGATCCATGGCGATTATCAAACCCCTTCGTGTTAAATCCTAGCCACTTGACACCGAAAACCCCACCGAGTGATTTGTACAAGTTAACATTCTTACTGTTATTTGTACACTACTCCCACTTCTTATTTGGTCAAACCTCTAAACAGTTAGTATCAAAGCCAAAATCCCCTCTCGATTCCTTCCATGAACGAGAGGACCACTTATAAATTAAGCGATCAAAACTTTAAAAAGTTAGGATCATCTCAAACTCCCATTTGGTCAAACCTTTAAACAGTTAGGACCAAAGTCAAAATCCCCTCTTGATTCTTTCCATGAATGAGAAGACCACTTATAAATTGAGCGATCAAAATTTTAAACAGTTAGGATCATCTCAAACTCCTATTTAGTCAAACCTTTAAACAGTTAGGGCCAAAGCCAAAATCCCCTCTCGATTCCTTCCATGAATAAGAGGACCACTTACAAATTGAGCGATCAAAACTTTAAACAGTTAGGATCGTCTCAAACTCCCATTTGGTCAAACCTTTAAACAGTTAGGGCTAAAGTCAAAATCCCCTCTCGATTCCTTCAATGAATAAGATGTCTACAAATTGAGCGATCAAATCTTTAAACAGTTGGGATTGTCTCAAACTCCCATGTGATCAAACCTTCCTACAATTAGGGCCAAAGCCAAAATCCCCTCTTGATTCTTTCCATGAACGAGGTCCATAAATTGAATAATCAAATCTTTAAACATTTAGGATCGTCTCAAATCCCCATTTGGTCAAATCTTTAAACAGTTAGGGCCAAAGCCAAAATCCCCTCTCGATTCTTTCCATAAACGAGAGATCCACAAATTGAACGATCAAACCTTTAAACAGTTAGAATCGTCTCAAATTCCTATTTGGTCAAACCTTTAAACAGTTAGGACCAAAGCTAAAATTCCCTCTCGATTCCTTCCATGAACGAGAGGTCCACTTTCAAATTGAATGATCAAACCTTTAAATAGTTAGGATCGTCTCAAATTCCTATTGAACGAGAGGTCCACTTTCAAATTGAATGATCAAACCTTTAAATAGTTAGGATCGTCTCAAATTCCTATTTGGTTAAACCTTTAAACAGTTAGGACCAAAACCAGAATCCCCTTTTGATAAATGAAAGGCCTCCACTCATTTCAAGCGATCAAACCTTCCTACAATAAGGATCGTTTCAAATTCCCACCTGGTCAAACCTTTAAATAGTTAGGGCCGAAGTCAGAATTTTATCTCGGTAAACGAGAAATTCACCTTCATATTAGGTAATCAAACCTTCCGACTGTTAGGGTTATCAAAATCTTTCAGATTCTCGGAGTGGAGATCCCACTCTTAGTTTCGCCTTTTCAGATTCTCGACGTGGAGATCCCACTTTGAGTTTCTTTTGCAACAGAAGATAGAATATAAAATTCTTTCTCTTCGGAATTGGGTTCATCTCTACCAACAAAAAGGAGACTAGGAGATAGAATATAAAATTCTTCCTCTTCGGCATCGGGTTCATCTCTACCAATAAAAAGAGACCAGGTGATAGAATATAAAATTCTTACTCTCTAATTTTGGATTCATCTTTTTACTAAGAAAATGTAACCCACCAATACCTTTGAATCCATGCTTTTTATGCATGGGGACGTTATCTCGATCTCTTATTAGAGATAAGTCTACGTCTAACACACGTTGCCGGGTGGTATGTTCCCGCAAAATGACCAAGCCTATATATTCAACATCATAGCACCAAGTTTAAGAAAGTTTATTCTCTTAGCACAACGTTACATGCAGAACAGACTTAAACAATCTGCATGCTAGCCCAATTCAAACGGTAGTCGGTAAAGGTTTATCAAATCCATTGATGGCTAAGGGTTTGCCAAAAATCCTATAAATATTATGTTTATTTTTCTGAATAGGAAATAGGATAAGTAATCATAATAAAGTTTAAATTCTGTCAAACTCAAGGAAATGAGCAAAGGATGACACAAATTCAGCCTGACAGCCACCTTTCTTTAAGCGGGACAATTGAACCCGTCTCAGACACACGAGGCAAGGTATACTGTCACACACACACAAGACAGCATCGAAGAAGCCTCTACAGTGGTTGTGGTCATACTAGCCTTAATAGTTGGTCCTACAACCTTAACAATTGTAAATGAAAGTCGACGCCGATCGACGCGTTACAAACAAAGATCGACGTCGGTCAACCCGTCAACAATTTTTGCCGAAACAAGGCTCATGATTACATGTCAGGTCAAGGAATTAATTCAAGGAGTTCAATTGTGACTCAAATACAAACTCCCGATGAAGATGATTAGTTCAACATCAACCCAATAACATGATCTAATTCAGAAATTAACGCACTAGCTTTAGTTCAAGATTTCGACAACAGTCAGACGATAAACGCAGCACCAGAAGAATTTTAGCTATTTAACAAAATATTAAATAGACCGAAAGCTAAAGAAGTCAACGAATTAAAGGCCAGGCATATTATATCTAAAGTATTCTAGCCTCATTTATAAAAGAATGGAGCTGAAACACTTTGGAGGGGGTATCTGTAGGCATAAAAAATTGCCTATAGGTTCTCACACATAGTTCAAGATGGAGAAAAGACGATGAACGTTAATATCCGAGTCAAGGAGGATTATCTGAATCAAAAGAGATCATTCAATGCCATAGAGGAGCTAAAAAGCATATGAAGTAAGTTGGTGAAGCGTAACGAGTCTATAAAACACACTAAACGATGAAGAAACAACTCAGCTGAGAGTTGTGCTTCGCCCACAAAGGGTGAAAACAAAGGGCGAAGTACCATGTGTGTCTCACCCACTCCATAAGTGTTTAGACTATTTAAGGTTGCAGAGCTCTTCACAAGCTTTTCAATGCATCTTGGATCACCTTATTCCGAGATCAGACGAGGGAGTTAGAGGCAAAACAACAATGCAGACATCACATAAGTTTCCGAGACACATGCAACTGTCTCAGAAACTATAACATGTCTTGCATATTTTAGCCATAATTAGATTTAAATATGAAGAAGCTAAAAATACAAAAGTTGTAGATCTCTTCATCAGCTTTCCAACGCATCTTGGATCACCTCATTCCGAGATCATATGAGAGAGTTATAGACAAAATACAACGCATAGTTTCCGAGACACATGAAACTGTCTTGGAAACTACATGACAAGAACTGATATTTCAACCATGATTTGTATTGAATCTGAAAAGCTCAAATGTTAAAAATTGTAGGTCTCTTTGCCAGTTTTCCAATGCATCTTGAATCACTTAATTCTGAGATTGGATGAGGGAGTTAAGGCTATGAGACCACACATAGTTTCCGAGACACATGTAACTGTCTCGGAAACTGGGGTGGAATAGCAGGGGTTCGTTGATGGTTTTCTCGAGTTTCGTGTGGCCTACATGGCTTATTAACTGTTAGGGATCACCTATGAACGTGGAGAAGCTATTACAAATGAAAAATCCACTCATAACTGTGGAGATAATGGCATTTAAAGGTGGGAATACCTGTTACAATACGACGGAAATGAAGCATGCTTCCGAGACAAATGTAATTGTCTCAGAAATGAAAAATCAACCACGCTTTCGAGATAGTTATAACTATCTCAGAAATAGGAGTCCCCTGACATGACTTCTTTTTGACTTCTAACTTTAATTATTATTCCTAAGGGCTATAAATACCCCCCTAGGACCATTACTGACAATGGCTGAGCAATTTTGGAGCAGATTAAGCAGAGAAACTTGAGAAATTTAGTGAATTCCAAGAAAGAAAAAAAGAGCCTTCATCACGTGCAAGTTTTTTTTCTCCAGAGTTCTTGTGATTCCTTAATATCTAAGCTTTGACTTGATCTTAAGAAGGGTGTTAATCTTACATCGATAAGATATTCACTTCCTTTTCTTACTTCTAAACGAAGCAAGAATTCCCAAATAGCATTCACTGTTCAATATGAATCTGTGATTCTGTGGTCCATGGGCTAACGCACCCTCGACACAGGCAAAGATCCTACACAAACAATGATCCTAAACAATCCTGTGTGTGTTTCTAGGAAGCACTCATAATTTGGTTTTGTTGTAAAGAGTAGTTTTACAAAGCACAAGGCTCACTCTTTTGTATTCATTGTAATCGATAAACAGTTATAATAAATTCTACAATGAAATTTGTTTCCGACGCAAACATCCACAAAGTTACTCAAATCACAACAGGACCCAATTAAGTTAATGTTTGTAGTAAAATGAGATCTTAAATTTTGTATTAATTGAATTGTTTATTACAAATTGAAATCGCTTTTACACAGAAGCAGAGAGAATTGATTCGATCTCTCCTTATTTAACGTGGGTTCTTTGGGGTGATAGGATACTTCCCTCGATGCTCGTGTCAAGTTTGCTTCCCTTTGATGATTCGAGCGAGGTTGCAAACAAACTTTAGCGTGTGGTAGAAGTTTGGTTGGATGACTTCGAAGGCGGAACAAGTGCTTGATTGCTTGTAGGCCAAGTATGCCGAGATCTCAAAGTTCGGTCCTCTTCTCCTAAGGATTCGAGTGAGACTACAAATAAGCATCCTCATATGGTAGAAGCTCTATTGGAGTTTTGAATACCCGAGCTAGGACGCTTGTGTTAGACCCTAATGCCACTAGGAAAGAACCCTAGAGGGGGGTGAATAGGGTTTATGCTAAACTAATCTGATTTAATACCAATTAAAAACTTATGAACAAGTTATCCTAGCAAATAAGATATGCAACAAATTATATGAAAGGATAAGCAATATAAACAAAGGGTAAAATAATAAACTACAAATGTGATCGGGCAATATACATAAAGAGTAATAGACAATGGCGATATAAGATAAGCACAAAAGTATATACGCCAATGACAAACTCAAACACAAGCAAATGATCACGGAGTTCGGACCTTCCGCCCTACGTCTCTGCTCCCCACTCCCGGGGAGAAATCCACTATCACATCAGGTTTTCGACGCTCACCCGAAAATGTTTACACCTCATACTCGATTTTCTAGCTCACCGAAAACTTTACAATCAACACTCTTGCAATCCTACTCTACACCCTCTAAGTGTTGGTCTCTAGCCTATGTCTCCTTCAAGTGCTCGGATTTACAACCTCTCCCTAGGCTTTATTACTGACACCACTCCTCTTGGGACGACACTGTCTCTCACCACACACTCCTCTCGGTGTACAAGTGTATTACAAAGTGATCTACACAATGAAGGCTCACAAATACAAATGTTTATTCTCTAACTAGATGAGAACTCAATTAAGCTCACTCTCAAGGTCACAATCCCACAACCCCAATATATACTGTGTAAGCAAATATAATAAGCTCAATGGTTGTGTGTGTAGACAAAGAGCAAAACAAATCTAAACTCAATTATGAAAATCTAGCTTATGGAAAAGATAATCAATAAGCAATTCTAAATTAAAGCTAGAATTGAGTTTAGAAAAACTTCTCTATAGATCAAGTGTGAGAGAGAGATGAGTGAAAGCCCAAACACAAATTGTTGATCTCCTCTTGCTCTTGTGAAAATTTTTTCACAAACTTAAACTTTTGTAAACAAACACTTAAACAAAATTAAACCACACTTAAACTTATTTTTAAACTCTCTTGGTTGGTGGGAGAGATAAATGCCATGGGGTATTTTTAACAACCCAAGACATCAGCCAAAACCCTAAGGAAATGACCAAAAACTCACACAAAAATAGAATCTGGAAATAGCTATTATTGTGCAACGGTTATATTGGCGGTTGACCGTAGTACCAGGTCCGGTCGACCGCGAAGAGCTGAAATCTAGAGATTGCTCTTTGGATATTTTTCTATCGACCGTGACGACCATGACAGTCGACCGCAAACCGACATATCTGATATGCACAGGTTTGCTAAAAATCTGATTTTGAAAATATCTTTGAAAATAGAAAATAAAATCAAAAAAATATAAAACTTTGGGGAATGCTTGTAAACATAAAAATGAACATGTTACAAAAACTGGTTTTCAAAAAGCACTTCCCATTTGTGAAATCTCATTATTTTGCAAAATCACTTAAAATACAAAATCTTGAAAACACATGATTTTGACAAAATGACTTAAACAAACTCCTGAAATATTTTGAATGGATTTATAGACTTATACAAGATATGAAAATAGTGTAAACAAGTCTTCAATCCATAAATATATAATTTTGCAAATTCAATAGAATATGAAACACATAAATGTATATATGAAGATATATATATTGTTTCATATCTATATAGCTATACCAAAAACAACTTATCCATAAATAAATATGTGAATAAATCTATGGTTTAATAAAACTTATTTTCTATGTGGATAAGTTACAAAATGAATAAACCAAAAACGATAATATGAAACATGTATGTATGTATATAGATAAGTGTAATTGTTTCATATTTAAACTTGAAAGCCATAAAACCAAAATGTGTATGTGTGTATATGATTGAGCTTAAAGTATTGAACACACATAATATAACACCTAAACTATTCAAAATGTGTATGTGTGTATATGATTGAGCTTAAAGTATTGAACACACATAATATAACACCTAAACTATTTACCCAAGCTAACTTGATCTGATTGAGCTTAAAGTATTGAACACACATAATATAACACCTAAACTATTTACCCAAGCTAACTTGATCTTTAATTGAGCTCGTCTTGGTAAACTTTGCGGATGAAGCTTGAAATTAGATATTTGACTTGAATTGTGCATAGCTTTACTCCGATATTCCGCCAACCTCTTTTGAATATGATCGTGAAAGCTCTAGTCCATCCATCCTCCAACGGATATGTTGTTTGTCTTGAATACCTAATGAATAAACACAAACACTAGACAAACAATATTAAGGATTATTTATAAAATCATCAAAATAAGGTTAGAAGATGTAGACTCATAACATGAGACCTAACAGCTTAGAGGTTAGAAGTTGAGTGCGCCAAGGAGATTAATCTTCTCTCTAATGCCCGCGTCAATGCCCCCCTCTCTCATGTACCCGGATATGGCTATTTATAGCTGAGAAAGATCGTAACCAACCCCTTAGAACATGGGAAGTGGGCATAACCACTCCCACAATTCAAGTAGGCGGTTTCTAACCGTTCAGGCAAGCTAGACGAGCTTGCAGGTGAGCTAGGAGAACAGGCGAGGTTGATAGGCGAACTCCTTAAGCATTCAGGCGAGCTTAAACCCTATTGGCGAGTTTGGATCATGTGGGCAAACCTCCTGCAGGCGAACTTTGCTCGTGCGAGTGAGTTTGGAACATGCATGCGAGCTTCAATCAATTCAGGCGAGCTTGGCTCATGTAGGCGAGGTTGGAGTATGCGTACGAACCTCATATGCAAAGCTATCAGGCGAGCTTCCATCAATTTAGGCAAGTTTGGCTCATGCAGGCGAGCTTCATAGGCAAAGCTATCAGGCGAGCTTCAATCAATTCAGGCGAGGTTCAAGCGTTCAGGCGAGATGGCGAACTAATCATTCAGGCGAGCTTAGTTCTTTCTAGGTGAAGTCCAATGCTTAGGCGAACATCGCTTCGCCTGCGAAGTCAAGCATTCAGGCGAGCTTGACTTAGCCTATTTGATGCAGTCGAACAAGCAGAACAAGCTTTGTTCCTACGAGCTTGGATGCTCAAGCAAAGTTCTACATGCGAACTCCTAAAGTTTAGGATAAAAGCAATTTTATTTGCCTACAAAACCCCCTTCAAAGTTTTCAAACCCGAATCAGATTACATAGGGTCTGGAATCCTTTGAATAAAAAATGATTATCATTCATTAGTTTAGGTGAAGTAAGGCACCTTACTGGCAAACTCGATCACTATGGTTAAGTTGAGCTCTTCAGACGTAGCTAATGGTCGCTATCTAGGATTTTTAGCAAACCCTCAGCTATCAGACTTGACATGTCTTAACAACTTAGCCATGCTTTTGCCCTCAATATGGTAAGTTGTCAAGGAGTTTCTCTTAGGCTCAATCCTAAGATTTCTCCTCTATCCTTAGTCATTCAAGGTGTTGGATTAAATGTTTGAACATGATTACAATGGTTAAGTCGTAATCGAGTTTGGTTGTGTCGTTCAGTGTAACAGCTCAACCTAGTGTTTTGAAAGCTAGGCTCAATTTCATGGTAGGCCTGCTGGAGTGTGTGACTCATTGCATGGTAGGTCACTAATTAGAACCAAAGGGGAAGATATGGGTTCATCGCTTGGTAGGTCACTATCAGCGAATAATACAGAAATGACAGTGTGAAAGTAATCAAGTCGTTCAGTGACTCGGGAGTATAACAACTGTAATAGGAATAGTAGCACATCACATTATAGGCCACTATTAATGGATAATGTTATTTGTAGGAATGACGGTGTGGGAATGATCAAGTCGTTCAGTGACATGGGAGTATGACGACTATGATCAGGAAAGAGGCACATCACATGGTAGGCCAATATTAATGAACAATGTCATTTGTAGGAATGACAGTGTAGAAATGATCAAGTCGTTCAGTGACATAGGAGTATAATGACTATGATCGGGATAGAGGCATATCGCATGGTAGGCTAATATCAATGAATAATGTTATTTGCAGGAATGATGGTGTGAAAATGATCAAGTCGTTCGGTGATATGGAAGTATGACGACTATGATCGGGATAGAGACGCATTACATGGTTGGCCAATATCAATAAACAACATTATTTGCAAGAACGATAGTGTGAAAATGATCAAGTCATTTAGTGACATGGGAGTATAACAACTGTGATCAGGATAGAGGCACATCGCATGGTAGGCCAATATTAATGAACAACGTTATTTGCAGGAATGACGGTGTGAAAATGATCAAGTCGTTCAGTGACATGGGAGTATGATGACTGTGATCAGGATAGAGGGACATCACATGGTATGCCAATAGCTTTGATCACTCTGAGGAGGTAGAACATTTAGAAAATATCAGAGAGCGAATCGTCACATGGTAACTATCCTGATCGAGTTACTATCCTGATCGAGTGACAAGTAGGGACTCATCGCATGGTAGGTCACTACTCAGAATATTTTTTATTGGGATCAAAGAGTTGACTATCAGAGGTAATCATAACGTGATAGTATTTTATGGTCCCGTCATCCTATTGAAGAGGATTGGTGGGCGAATTTAGAGGAAATCAACTATCAGATGCGATCATTAACATGATAGTATTTTATGGTCCTATGATCCTATTGAAGAGGATTGGTGGCTGAATTTTGACTATCAGAGGTAATCATTAACTTGATAGTATTTTATGGTAAGGGGTCAGATGCTCATGTATGACTTCAGACTTACCTTGGAGCTGATTGACGACACGCTTCGGGTCATCATGACTCCGTCAAAGAGATGAATCGAGGTAGTTCATGGTTTTACAGAGAAACCGAGACTACCCACACACCAGTGATAATCAGGATTGAAGGGTAACGACGCCTACATCGAATAAAGCTTGGATTTTATCCTTCAGGATGTAGCATTTATAGGTGGGATGATGAATCATCCTGTG